ATCCCCTCGGAGCTTCCTCCTTGCAGAGACGCCCTTCTCTCAAAGGCATAAAACTACGTGGTTTATGCCTCCCCCAACCCCAACCACCTACCAGAGTCGCTGATATATATAGTATATATATATATATATATATATATTGTACCTCGGAGGCGTCGTCGGCCACTTTTTTTTTCTTCCTTCGATCTTTTTCTGCGCTCTCCGTTTTTTTTTTCCTGTTTTTTTTTAACCCTTTCCTTGCTTCCTCTCATCCACCTTTCCCTCTGCCTCACGCCAAAGGCTCGGCTAGAAGCAGGGTGTCGAGAAACCTCTGAAGAAGCGTCAAGTGCGCGTCCCAATCTTTGCTTTCCGTTTCCCAGCGCACCACCAGAATGACGTCTCCACGTGGAATCACGTACGTGCGACAGCTGCGGCCTTCCTTGGACTCAAACAGTTGGACCCCCTGCAAGCCGTTAACGTCGCACATGGTACACGGAACCCTTTCCGTGGTCCAATCTGTGAAGTGAAAAAGAACATTATGCCTCAACTCATCCTCTGTGGAAAGAAACTTCTCCCACGTCGGGGGAGGTTGCGTTAGGCGCCGAATGGAGACTCGCGGAGGCGCAACGCCCTCTCCCGGCCCCGATGGCAGAGAGCGACGGGTTTCATCACCCAAAGGCCAATACAGCACAAGTAGATCCTCGGCCAGGATCGGCTCATGAACGACACCTGTTTTCGGGTTAACGGAGAAGCTGACACCGAGGTAGGGGTGAGAAAACACAATGCTCATGGCATCTTCTCCATGTGGGAGCGGCGCACGCCCACCCACTCCGTTCGCTACAGGGGCAGCGAGCTCTTCCACTGCGACCAGAGAGACAAGCGATGACACAGGCGGGTGCGCGGGCGTCGGCGGCGGAAATAGTGCATCAACGGAGGTGCCCCTCACAAGCGCGCCCAGGGCATCGCTACCAACACCAATTCTTTTCTCGCGTAAAACTTCCCCCTCGATAAAAAAAAGGGGACGCAAAGCGTCGTTGTCTCCCTTTCCCTCCGGTTCCACGTTCTGGCGCACGGTCAGCGAGGGAGAGAGGGCAAACACAAGCACGTTATTCCCATGCCGGTACGTTAACCGCAGAGAACCCTTTCCAGCGCCCACTGGTGTGCCAGCAAGGCGCAGCCCATCCACCAACGGCACAACGCGGCAGGCATCAAGCAACATCTGAATATTACCAGGAGTCAATTTTTCTACCGTATTCTTGCCGTTTTCGGACTTCAGTGGGGATGACGCATATTGTGTCATGACAAAGGAGAGTAGATATGGCCCGTGACGGCCAAAAAAAACAAGCATTTCCTTATCTGGAATAACAACAGCGTGGGTAAAGCATTCCGACGCACATGAGAAGCCCACTTCTTTTAGAGGCAATACCGCTGTTCCATGAGTGGCCAACGTTTGAAGAATGGGCATATTTTGAAGATACTCCAGATAAAATTTCACATTTTCTTCGTCTCCTGCAGGTGTTTGAAGCATACACAGACGAGGTCCATCGCATAAAATAAAGTCATTTTGCTCCACAGCTAGGTCGTTCTTGACGGCATCAGGACGTAAAATAGGAATAACTGCCAAATTGGGCGGGTAAAAGATAGGCGGCGCACTAGCCCATCCAGCTGAGAGTTTTTTCGCAACTACTTCCACAGGGACAGTTTGTGCAGTGCTGCGCCGCGAGGCTGTCGCGTGTTCATCCGAAGGCCTCCCACAGGCTTCCTCGTTTTTTGGCCGTGCTGACCCTCTCCGTTGTCGATAAGCCACGTAGATGGAGAGGAGCGCCCCGCCCACCCCCATAAGCAAACGCGTCATTCTTTTGCTACAATAAGGAGACCACATTTTTATTTTATGTGTTTTTTTTTTCCTTCTCTCTCCTCCTCCCCCCTTGTTGCTCGCTTCAGTTGCTCGGATGGTGTGATTCTGTTGCGCGCGCGCTCTCTCTATGTCTCTTTTTTTCTAACTCACCTACTCCCACAACGTCTTTGCCTTCTGTAAAATTGCTGGCCTCTCTATAACTCCCCCTCCTCCCGGTGCGACGTCTCACTAGAGCTCTACGGTTATCAACCAGTTCCAAAGGAAGAAAATTACATGAGGAGAGAATCCCTGTGATCCACGAGAAAAAAAGAATATTAAAAACACACACACACACACGCAAAAAGCCATCCAGGGACTCGCAGAGCATCAGCGAGGGACACCCACACACAAACACAGACACATATGTGTGTATATATATACATGTATGTATGTATAAACACATCTACCATTCGCGCAGGTGTGTCTCCAACTACCCACATGGCTCATTAGAGCAGCATGCATACCAGCACTTGCGCGACATAGTTTATTTCTAAAGGGGGCCTGTTTCTACATCAAGGCATCCCGCGCACGCTCCTTTTCGTCTTTCATGGTCAGCGCCAAATCCATTCTCCATGATAAAAAAAGAAAAAAAAGGAAAAGGAAAAAAAACAACAACAATACAAAAACAAAAACCCACTGCGGCGGGAAATAAAAAAAAGACATAGAAAACTGCTGCAGTTTGATCAAAGAGTAGCGTAGCGAGTAGCTGTTGAGTTGGATAACCTTGCAGTAGGCGTTTTATGGAAAAGTCGTTCCATTCCACCCCGGCCACGGACGCAACGATGCAGCTCCTTTTCATATTTGCGCAGAACACTATCCAAGAAGGGCTCTGCGCCTTCTTCGTTCCCAGCTTCGGTTGTATTCACGGGACGGCTCGCTGTTATAGCGGCACGTGTCTTCTTCTCCCTCATCCTCAGAAACCCTCTTCCCCTCCCTCGCCTTTCCTTCTGCATTGCCTCCAGAGGCAGCCCTGAGTTTACCACCACTGCAACCTCCGGCGGTTTCGTCGGGGCCAGCCTGGGTGGGGACACTGATATGCCCGAAAGAGATAACCCTCCGCCCAATGCGGCTGCGGGACTCGGTGTATTTCTGCAACCACCACCGCTATTAGTAATATTTTTGGTATTGTTAACATTATTATTATGCGGACACACGGGAGCCCTGACCTGCTCCTTTGGCGTGGCAGGGGTGGTGGTTGGCAAACTCAGAGGCTTCCACCATGCATCTGGGGGCGCTTTCGGCTCTGCAGAAGTTGGGTGGCTTCGTCGCACAGCCGCGTCTTGGTCTGCCACTGCGTCTCCAGCAGCGCACGTTGGCCGCGTTGTTAAATCGTATTCCTTCTCCCGAAAGGCGCGTGCTTCTTCCCTTAGCGGGCGCCATTGTTTTTTTTCTTCGAGCGCCACCAGCCGATCGCTGACTGGAGAGGGCAAAGAGAGTTCCTTGCTTTGGATCTCGTTCGCGTCTTCAGCCGCTGACACCAGAAAAGCACCCTCTTTCGCCAACGAAGGATCCCTTTTGCCCAATGACACGGCACTATCAACTTGGCACCTGTTCACCGCGGGCAGTTGCGGCGGCTCTTCGTGCGTCTCCACCATCGAGGAGTATCGACGATTTCGCAGTTCTTTTTCAATTCGGGCGCATTCCAGGCACGGTGCCGAGGTGGAAAGTGGGTACGGTAGAGCAAAAGACATCAGGGAAGTCTCGGTTTTTTTCTCTGTAGGAATCCTAGTCCCTAGTCCATCCACTTCCTCTGAGAGCAGTTTCGGTGGAAGCCGATCCATCACAAGCTCGCCTGTTGTGGTTCCATCCCGGTCAAGGATCTTCACCAGGTAGTCACTGCCGCAGGAGATAACAGCGCTTATCTCAGGGAACCAGGCCATGAATGTTGTAGGACCTTTGTGCACCGAAACCACTTGAAGGAAAATCGGCACCTGCGACGTCTGAAAACCTTTACCCATGCCCTGAAGCTGATATCTCGTCCGGTTCTCAAAGGAGCAATGCCGAATGCCAAATTCTTGCAGGAAATTGCAACAAGAATATATAAACAACCTTCCCTTTTGGTCCGCCAAAAAAAGGCGATGCGAAACATCATCAAAGGAAATCGCAGTGGATGCCCCATTTGCCCTGTCATCTGCGGCAATGATATCAAGCAAGTCAGTAAAACCCGACTTTTTCTTCTCCCTTTTCCCTAAAATTGCCGGGGACGCAGCAGGCTTGCCGTTGGCAGACTCCTCGCAGGGTTCTGCTACGCAGACTACATGGGAAGTTGGCGATGAGACGCGGCCAACCTGCTGACGAGCAAGCGACGGGGAGCCAAGAAGAGGAACACGCATTTCCGTTCCGCTGCGTCCAAGCTCCGACGAGGACCGTCCAAAAAAAAAGGATACCAACGGCGTGTAACTTTCTTCTGCGGGCGGCATCGACCACAGGGTGAGCTCGCCGTCGTTGCTGCTCGTGGCCACCACGGGGAAGGTGCCAAGCACAGCTGTCGTACGCAGCGGACAAGTCAGCGCAACCGTCACGTGGCACAACTTTGTCTGTTTGTAATCCAAAAAGAAGAGCGCGCGCTCGTCGCAGCAAACAATTATGCCTGCCTCCTCACTCAGCGATAGAGCGCGCAAGGGGTTGGTGGAGAGTCCAATGGTAGAAACGGAAAGCTCAGAATCCATTTCTTGTCGAAGGGTGAGCGAGCCGTTGACTGCAATGCTTACAAGCAGCCGGTGCTTGGTACTATAGAGCATCGCCTGTGCGTTGGCCTTATGCATTGAAAAGGTTTCCAAAACGGCGAAATCCTTGGAGGAGCGCAGCTCCACCACGCCTCCTGATATAGCAAAGAAGAGACGGTTCCGCGGGTAGTCGAGGCAGACGGCGAAAACCTCTTGACGCCAATATGGTGTATTGGCATGAATGGCGCGGTCAAACACACGCCTGCGGAAGCCTTCTGCGGCATCCCAAACTGATGTACGCGCCGCTCCCTGAAGAAGTATCGTGCCCTGGCGTGGGTCATAGAAGGCAGACTGCACGCACTCCACGTCGGCAATGTGACCCTCGCAGCGATGATTGTATCGAAGACAGTAAATGGCGCCAGCGGAGCCACACACAACTTCTTGCGTATGCGGAAAGGCACCAAAGGAACGAATGCTGTGCGTATCACCTTTGCGTACATTTCGGAACGCGAAAGACTCGCCATTGAGATTACTTGCTTTATCGTCGCAAACACAATCAACATTTACCTCGTCCAGCGCACTTCCATCAGCGTACAATGTCTGAGAACACTGAAGGGTGCGTAGATCCCACACTTTCATCAACCCTGCACTATCGCAGGTAATTATTTGCGGTAAACCCGGGGCGCTGCAGAGTCCAATGACATCGGCGGTGTGTGGCTTTGTCCCCCCGTTCCCGAAACTGACGCCAGGCATCACCGCGGACGACCGCACATCCCAGAGTAAAACGCGATTTGAATACGACACCGTAGGCAAGCAGGCGTAATTCCTGTTGTACTCTACAAACCGAATCGTGTCATGCGGAAGTCCAATAAGAATCGAACGTCCTGTTTCAAGGTTTGTTGAAAGCAGACGACGATCAAACCCTGTAGAGAAAATAGACTCATCCGTAAGCGCAAAGTCTGTGATGCCGCCGGACTCAGGGGAATGAAGGGCCTCATAGGAATGTGCCCGGGATATCTCTTGTACAGATCTTTGCTTGGGCACTTGCCAACGTACCACATTCCCGTGGCTGCCGCAAGTAAAGAAGGAGTACGGAAAAATATTTTGTTGCGTGCGAATGCGCCTTACTGAGTCCCCTATATACAATGGAGAAAATGTTCCCATACGATTCTTGGAAACGACGTTCCACCAGCCGCGTACGGTCTTATCATTTATTGTATAGGCGAGTAGGACATCTACAATTGGCATGTATTCGACGAGTCGAGGGTGATTGTTGCCAAGATCCTTCATGCTAAACTCCTTCACCACACTAAAGTCTTTCTTACTTAGCAACACGAGAGGCTCTGCTCGTGACACGACGGCAAACATGGACTTGTGTTCAGGAAGTGTATGCACCGTCTGGACGAGACGCGTCCGTGGGGAAACGCGGGAAAGAAAATATGAACGCGCCCCTTCCGTCATGACGGTGATACTTTGGGTGGCCTCCTCCACGGCCAGCTGCAGCACGTCATCCCAAGAGATAAGCCCATCACTGTCACTGTCAATTTTTTCGAATAGCGTCTCAAATGCTTGTAGACCCGGCCACGGGCGCCACGAACGCTGGAGCGAGTCGTTCATCCGCAACGAGCTCGTGAAATTACTCTCCCTAAGCGCGCCCAATGCATCCTTCCGCTGTGTGGCGTCATTGCTTCTATTTGTGGGGAGCATCGAGGCCGCCCGCGTCGGCGGGTTTCTCGCCAACCCTTTCAGCACGCTGCGCAGACTGGAGTGAGACTCCCCCAGCGTCTCACTTGGCGCGGTCGCCGTGAAGCGCTGCGACACCCCAAAGCGATCAGACCTTCTCCATCGCCTTTCGATGTGACGAGAAAACACCTCGAAAAAAGATGTCCATCGTCATGCCATTTGGGTGGAGGGCGAATTCCCCTTTGAGGGCCTCCAAGCCGTCCTCGTTTTCGGCGAGCAGCAGCGATAGTTTGAACCTGTTGCCCGCCGGTGCCTGCAGGAAGGCATCCTTCGCCTCGGGCCTGGCAAGCGACCACGACTTTCCCTCTGCCATCTGCACTGCGTGAGAGGGACGGTGGTGGTGGGGAAAAAAAAGAGTGAAAAAAAAAAAGGAGCGTCTGGAAGCAGCATCCACATTCAGGCAACAAGAGTGCGAGAGAGCGAGCGGGAAGAGGAAACAAAGCCAAAGGCGCGCTGCCCATCTCCCTCAGAGATGCATACATTATACATATATCATTGGGACACGTCGGCAAAGAGGAGTCAGAGATCCGCTCCCCCTCAGCTCACCAGCTTCTATTCCATTCTCTTTCTCTCTCAGTCTATCTTTTTTTTCTTTGATATTTCCCCTCTCCTTCTCTTTTCCCTTTATGCGCTCCGCAAGAAGACGTCAGCTGCGACCACTGTCGGGGCACATTGAAAAGAGGCACCGAAAAAGAACAGGGGTAACGCAAGGAGGTATACAAAAAAGCGAGAGAAAGAGAGCAGGAGGACTACATCAAGATAAATTCAGCGCGGCAAACAGACACAAATAAAAAAAACAACAACAACATCGGCAACAGCAATAATAAGAATGACGACGCAAGAAAGAACCAACAAAGACAAAAAAAAAAACCACGGACACTAACTACCATGACGCCATACAACGACATTGGCGCCATCCAGTTGAAAATGACAGAAGGAGCGTGCTTGGTGAGTGACATAGGTAGAGAAGGAACGACCATAAATAACGTGCCACGTCCCCCCCAAATCTCTCTCCACATTCTGTTTGATCATCTGCGCAATGTCCCTCAGCGCCGCGCGCTCGACTTCGCGCTCCAGTTCTTTTCTAGCCCCCTCCTCCTTCCTCCACGTGTTGCGTGTGGGCACCAACACAAACTTGTTGTACGCCTCCACGGCGATGTTGATAATGCTCTGCAGCGTGGCGTTCGGAACATCAGTGTAAACTGTCACTTGGGAGAGGGTCGCGACGCGGGGGTCCAGCTCTGACTCCGGAGCGACGGAGAGGGAGGAGCGGCTGCTCACACGTCCTATCGAGTTCCGGTGAACGGAACGTCGCCTCCCCGCGGTGCTAGAAGTAGTTGATGCCGCCATTCCGCCAATAACGCCTGCCTACCGCCGGTCACTTTTCTTGTGTTGTTGTTGTTTTACACCTTTCCCACAGCGCGCATGCGCGTGTGCCCGTGGGGCCAACACCAAGTCACCCCCCACGTTGCCGCCAAAAAGAGAACACGAATAATAATAATAATAACAATAGTAGTAATAATAATAACCATCCCACACACGTAAAACCACCACCAGCCCACGAGGAATCACAATCAACTCCTTTCGACGCAGTTGGGCCAAAAATTCCAAAATACACCCCCTCGCTCGTGCGGCCTCTATGGCGGCTCATCTTCCAGAGGAGACGAACCTCCGTGAGCAGCCCAGCCCCTCTTTCGTAGGGCGGCACCAGGGCGGAACCCAGATGACGGCGTCAGGTAGAAAACCAGGCAACGGCGCGCAACTTCACTCGCTAGGCAGCTCCCTACCCCCCCCCCAAAAAAAAAAAACACACACATGCACCCGGAAAGAAGAAGCCCATAAGCAACAACTTCACAAACTGAAAGGTAAAAAAAAAACAACCCGTCCGCCTTTTATTCACTCAGCTCCGCTTCCGCCGATGCATACGTGCATGCAACTATTTATTGCAAGCAAGTAATTGCATACAGGGAAGGAGAACAGCATAGAAAAGAGACTAAAAGTGCGATAAAACTAAGGAGGGAAGGAACACCTTTCCCTACCGCCGTGTGAAGAGACTGAGGCTATAAGCATACATGTTTGTATACTTTTTTCCCCTTCCTTAATAGACGTTAGTTTGCTGTAAAACGCAAACGCGGCAGCAGCAAAAGTAAACAAAAGTGGAGCGTCAACGGACCCAGATGCGCCTCCCACTATCGTTGGATATCATGTGACGAGCAGAAAGCCTTCTTTGGGGGCTGCTGCAGAGGGAAGAAGGCTACACACGCTACAAACTAAACAAGCAGCAATCGTTGTGAAGATCAGTAGTAGCAGCAGCCACTGAAACTAACTCATAAAAGTATGCACTGTGTGAAATGAATCCCCCTCCCCATATATTTCCTTTTGATTAAAAACAAAAAAAAAACAACACACTGAGGACAAGCCCGCAGAAGGCAACCGCCCTCAGCCGTCCCAGAACCATCGCTATCCCATGTGATCCATAAGCAGAGGAAACCAGCGCCGCCTCGACCGGCCATCCTCATCGTTGGAGCGTGCCGCCGAAGAAGTCCGCCTGTCGACAGGCGCGGACGCCACCGCCCGCGGAGGGCGCTGGAAGTAGCTCATGAAGAGACCGTCATCCTCAAGGTGGATTTCCCTGGGAAGACGCCTTGGCACTATCGCCTCTTCGCGAGGTGCCTCTTCATCGTCGTCTCGCCGTGAGGCCCATGGCAGCTCCCCAATGACTGTCATGAAGCGCTGATGCTGAGAGTGGCACGGAGCACGCTGGTGGGGGCCTTCTTCCTCGAAGGAGAAGGAGCTCAGCGCCGTGGAGCGCGTCAGCCCCCCGCGCGTTGTGATTGTGTTGGACCTCGTTGATGGTGAGTCGGCCCGCGGCGCCTCGGCGCGAGGGGTCTTTGCCTGCATGGGAAGCCGCGAAACAAGTACTCTATTTTACTTTATTTCTTTTTTTTTTCCTGCTGAAGTCCGTGAGCGACAGAAAAACAAAAGAAAACGAAATAAGTCTCAGCGGAGTGCAAAAAGAAACTCAAAAAACGTGGGTTTACTAATGGTACTTGCTTTTGAAAGCAAAATAAACAAATAATAATAATAATAATAATAATAAAACAACGCTTCCCAAACAACGGGTCAGAGTTTAGTTAAATGCTGAGAGGAGTACAAGCGCATTCGCCTTGCCAAGAAACACACACACACACACTGACACTGCTGTGACACCCCGCGGAAAAGCAAAACACGCAACAGCTGCCACAGAACCCACCGACACTACGTGAACGCATTTCCACCCAAATGCATACACGCGAGTGGCGTTTATGGCGCCGCAACACGACCCAAAGGCAGCAACAAAGAGCAACACGTGGAGTGGCCAACATCACACGACAAAAAAAAAAAAATTGACGTGAAGGAAGTGGTGACTAATTCTCCCCACTTCACTGCCGTTGCTGCCCCTGCCGTCGGTGGTTGTCGTCCCCAGACCAAAGACTTCTCATATTTACGAAAGAAGACAAAGCATATTTTCTAACCCACGCAGGAAGCCGATTTTTTCCTCCGAAAAGTTCAGGCGTCTGTCGCTCACTCGAGCATAGTCGATCAGGTACACTCGAACATCGGCGGCGTCAGTGCCACCAATGCCGCTATGCACGCAGCTCGCGGCATCGTACACTAGC